TCAAACTGGATAAAAAGTCAATGTATGACAGCTTCTGGCAGACAACCACAACGCTGACACAGGCACAAAGGGGATATGATGCCACTGACAGGAGGCCGGTAAAACGCAGCGTTACCTGAATAAAATTGTTGGAAAAAGTTGAGCTAATACAAGTACACAACTCAACAACATATGTAACATTGGTTTAGTGTTTATAGACCTACTAGTTCGGAAATGTTACATATTATAGCTTTGATTGTAATTGAAAGGTTACAGGTTATTCTTTGTTTTTCAAGAATGCTAAAAGGAGCGCTGATAAGATTAGGTGATTAATTGAGTAGTTGATGGACACAAAACTAATTGACAACAACTGATCAGTGATTCAAGTCAAACATTCTTCTCTCTTATAATTGCTTTGGATCTGATTTCATCTAGGGTTCTGGGAAACTGATTAAAAAGATGTTTTATCAAATTAATGATCAATCCAAAAAAGAATCAACAGAATAATGAATATCTGTAATCATTAGTTGCAGCCCAGCTAAAAAAAGAAAACAAACACAAATCATTATCTACTATTTCCGTGTAGGTTTGAGTAATATAAACTGGTTAACCCTCCAGATAAATCATGTGGGGTTAAAAAGCACTTCCACTTTCAACTAACACAGCAGCTGTGTCGAAGGAGACCAGTGGATTCCAGCGTTAAAACTGAGCTGAGATGTAAAAGGAGCTCCCTTATTGCCATGTGGCTCCTTTGTCTCACTTGTCATCTTTCACAGCCGCAAAAAACAGACTGAACCAAGAATGCAGCCGTTTGGTTCCAAAAATGGAAATACTAATTGGAAAGTACAGATTATTATGCAGATATACCTTCAGTAAGATATAAACAAACATCTCGGAGAATACACTCACAGCTTCATTTTTATTTCAAATGGAGAGCTCAACATTTTGGAAAATACTTATTTACTCTCTTTCAGTGTCTGAGAAGTTCAGATTGATATAATGTCTGTGTATTTCGTCTAGGGGGAAAAGCTAGCCTGGTTCTCTCCAAAGTTCAAAAATACATCTGCCAACACCTCTGCTGTCTCGTGTGTTTAATCACTGGTTTATCCACTCCAGAGGTGATGGAGGATCTCTACTTATAGGTGCTGGTAATGTGGGTGCTCGGAAACTTGGGCACCTTGGGTATTTGTGAGCACCAATGCTCATACTTATAACTGTAAGGATACCGTATTGGGAGCAATGCTGGGCTACTCAAACATTTGATTTATTATTCATTTCAGAAGTAATATTATAACTTTACTTAACAGTAATTACTTACACTACTAGTTATATTACTTTTCTGCTACTTCCCACACAATTAAAAAACAGTTTTGGTAAAGTTGTCAAAGTAATGGAATATTTCCAAACTAGTTCCTCCACGATTACAAAAGTAAATCCAAGGATGTGATTGGATTGTTGGATTTCAAATCAGTAGGGCGGTGACAACAAAAGTAAGGTTGTAACTAATTATTTTTGGGGAGTAACTAATATTATTATGGAAATGTATTAGTAATAACTACTACTACTAGATACTGGGGAAAGTAATATCATTACTAGTAATGAGTTGCCCAACACTGATTGGGAGGACAGTGATGTTGTTCAATAAAGCTCCATAGAGAAATGGACACTGTCAAAGCAGTGACTCAACTGTGAGCTAAACGTTACTCTATAGAACGTTTGTGGCGTCATTCTACAGTCCTCTATATATTTTAACCACACAACCAATGAGTTGTGTCATACAGTATAGAAAGCATACAAAAGCAGTACTTTTGCATCATATTTAATTTAACACACCGTGTCCATTAACATCAAGACTTTTGTAAATATGTAGGCAGATGCTCAAGTGCCCTGTCAGTGACATCATTGTACCCTAATGGTAGCTGCATTAGAGTCTGGTTCAAATGTACTCTATGGTCGATTGGATCACTGTGCCGCTCAGTTAAATAGCTTCAAATGGACTGATCTGAGCTTGTGTGTATGTGGTGGGTGTGTGACTGTGAGCCTGTGTGTGTGCAGCCTGACTCCATGTAAGTAAGTTTGGTGAAACTCACTCAGTCTGGATTTTTTGTGCTGATTATCAGGGTTGCAACTAACGATTATTTTCACTGTCAATTAGTCTGGTAAACATTTTCTCGATTAATTGATTCAATAAAAGGTTGATCATGTCTTGTTTTGCCAACCATCCAAAAGATATTCAGCTTATTGTCATAGAGGACCAAAGAAAGCAGATAATATTTACATTTGAGAAGCTGAAATCAGAGAATTTGGACTTAAAATTTAAAAAACTATTAATCGATTATCAAAATATCTGGCAAATCGTTGCAGCTCTTCTGATTGTTTTGTTTGGTGTTGATTTGACTTGGTTGGTGGTGGTTGCTTGGAGATAAGGTGGTTGTGTTGAATGACAAATTGATCAACCTAATATGAAATGAGGATGTGACAGCATTTGCAACATTTGTTTCTTCTACACACAGCTTCAAGTTGTTTTTGCCAAAAATAGATTTGGCTCTGATGTCCTAGGCTGCATCACGACTTGCCAGATACAGTCGATGAGCACAGGTTTTGCTCCTGGCACTGTGATGACAATACGTCTGAAAGCAGTTATTTACCAATTAATAATTCTTGTTAGGATTAGGTGATATGACCATATGCACCTTGAGATGAGGTTTTGCCTTACTGTTTATACCATGGCAGCTATGCCTTTAATATTTCTGGATGTATTAGGCCATTATGAGCAGGACTGCAATACTGGATTTCTTGTTAGTTTTGCATCAGTGTAATGTAATGCCATGTTTTGAATACATGTGTGTGAAATGTATTTCGAGACACTAAGTCAGACTTTTTGTTCTTCAGAACTTCAATATTACAAGA